CGAGCGCTGGCATTTGGGCTTTCGGTGGGGCTTCCCATGGGCCCTCGACCACGAAGCGTGTGAGGCGCGTGCCACAATGGGCGCGGTGGGCGCACGCGAGCGCTGGCATGTGGGCCTTCGGCGGGGCCCCCAATGGGGCCGCGAAACATGCGAGGGGTGTGCCACAACGGGTGCCGCGGCAGCGCGTGGGCGCTGGCATCTGGGCCTCCGGCGGAAATCCCCGTTGGGCCACGAAGCGCGTGAGGGGCGTGCCAAAGTGACGGGGGCGACGGGAGCGGGGGGGGGGGAAAGGAGGAGAGGGAGGAGGGAGGAGGGAGGAGGGGGGAGGGAGGAGGATGAGGAGGAGGAGGAGGATGAGGAGGAGGAGGAAGAGGAGGAGGAGGAGGAGGAGGGGCGAGGAATGGGCGGAATGGCGGGATGAGTGCGCAAGTGCGATCAATCAGAAGAGGGTGGGTGGGGCGGGGGGGGGTCCCAGGGCCATCCTGGGTGTCGCACTCGCGGCCGTCGCGGTACAAGGTCGGGGCGGCGCGCGGAGATCGCGCGCAACGGCGCGCAAGACCGCCCGCTCTCCCGACAGCGCGCCCCGCGACGACGACGACGACGGGGCTCCTCCCTCCACCTCGCTCACTCCTTCCTTCATGCTCCCCGCTCCCACAGGTGGGGTGAAATGGGCAACGTCAAAATCAGGATGACACTTGAATTCGCTATCACAATCCAAGCCAGAGGTGTCATCAAACGCGGGCTCAGGGAGCACAGAGAAACGGAGATACTCACCCAACTCTACCCAAGCAGGCGCTCCCTCGGTGGCTGCAGGGGCCCGAGATGCAAGCGCGGGCGCCTCCGCCGCTGCGACCGCCTTCGGCGGTCCACGATGTGAAGGGAACACTCCCTGACGGAGGCGGGCCAGATTCTCGCGCCCCTTCCTGGTGAGCGGTTCGCACGGACGGGCCAATTGGCGGCCATCCACCGCGGCCGTGAACCCACGCGCATCGCAGAACTTCAAACCATACCGAGCCCATTCATGCAACGAGTGGCACTCGTGGAGCCTAACGCCTCCAATCTCGCACGCCCCTAGCACGGGAGAGATTCCGTCACCGATGAACCGCGCAAAAGCCGCGGGGACGGAGGGTTCGGGCCCCTGGGCCGAGGCAGGGCAGACAGACGAGGCGAATGCAAACAGTCTCGTTCGAGGCGCAATCTGCTGGAACTTGGAGCACATCCACCGATTGCTGCAACGGGAGAGGGAGTGCGACGAGGAGGCCATCGGGCCATCACCATATCAAGCCGAGATCTACGCTTAGTTCTAGGCTGGGATTGTCGCCAACCAAGCTCTGGGGCAGCCTGCACAGTGTCAATGGGCGCTCCCCTGGCACGGAGACGGACCAAGAGGGCAATGGCGCCCTATCGATCAGTAAGCGGAATCGGGTGACGAATAGCAGTGCCCCACCCCCTCTTCGCGGCCCACCCCGCCCAGACGCCAGCACAAGAGTTGCCGTGAGAGAGGATAGCCTGGAAGGGAGTGGTGACGCGGTCAGGCTCGGCCTCCAGATGAGAGGCAGTCCAGTCGACATCCACAGACCCGGGACCCCGTTTCTGCACAGCCTGCCGCACTCGCACCCAGAGGTCCACGCTGCGGCCAAAGGGGCGTTGAGCGCGGCCATCCCGCCAGCCATCAACCACAAGCTTACAATCGCAAACGTAAGCGATATTGCCAACCGAATTCTAAAGACCCAGGGCCAGCGCCAGGAGCTCAGATCGGGGCACAGTCTGACGGCGACCTGGGAGGCAGGCGGCCGCACCGCGGACGGGGATCCACATGGCCACCGAAGGGCCCCCGTCCAAGGCGCGGCGCATGACCACCGCGGCTGCCCCGCAGCGTCTCAGACGCTCATCAGAACTGCGCCACCCCCCAGACCCATCTCCAAACAGATAAAAGGGGGGGGTCCATCAGGGGCCGAGAGCTCCTTTAGCAGGCGCTGCCCGAGGAAAATTGGGTCTCCAAAACCAAGGCCTTCAACAAATTCAGGAACCGTGAGGCTGGTTGAGGTCCGGCCTCTCAACCAGAAGGGACGGATCAGAATCAGCATTGGCCAACGCCTGAGGGATCAAGGCGTCAGTGGACGTGTAGTCTGGATGCGAACAAGTGCTTGGGCACTCCCAAATGCGGTAGCGCAGCGTCTCTGGCGCAGCGCGGCAGCGGGTGCAGGCGAGGTCGGCCTCATATGCAGAATCCACCTGCCTCTGCTGCGTCCGCTGGCCGCCTGAAATGACTGTGATATTCGCGCTCCACAAGTCCATGGCGCCTTTCTTGGCGACTGCATCCAATTCGCGCTGTGCGACATGCAAGTCCGCCCCGTGGGCGAGTTGGTCACCATCAGGGTGCCGCGAAGGCGTCGCCCAGGACACAGCGCGGCAATCAACCTCAAAATCCAAGAGGAGCTCGCTGCAATCCTCCAGGACGGCGTCGCTGCACCCGTTCTCGCCGAAGGAAAAAAGGCGCAGTCCACGGGCCCCTCGGCGCAACCGGTGCGACGCCAACGGGCGGCCTCCAGGGGCTCCCAGCCTGCCTGCAACAAGGTAGCTTGCAGCGCGGCAGTGAGCCCACGGACGTCTCGCCATCTAACGCGATCGCCCAGCCCAGCACGCGCGCGAGGCCAAACTCGAGCAATCCGAGCGTGTAAGTAGGGTTGCGCGAGCCACATCCTGAACCATTCTGCGAGAACGTCACGCCGAAGCTGAAGCGACGGATCGGCCGAGCCGAGCGTCGCCCGGAGCACCGTCTGCAAGCAACGTCCACGCTTGTGCCCAGCAGCGGCCGCCGACGCCTGCCTGCGCAACTGCGTGACCGTGGGCGGCAGCACGCCGAGCGCCTGGCGACCGTAGGTCGCCGAAGGGAGAACCCCCGCACGCCGCAAGCCTTTGGCCACCTTGCGGCTGCCAGCAAGCCGCCGCGTCTTCTGGATCTCGCCACGCCGAGCCGAGGCGCGCGCAATCCGAGCTCTGAATATGGGTCGAGCACGACGGCGAGCAGCAGCGGCGTCCACTCCCTTGTCGACCGCCGACTTGGTGAATGAGACGGGGGTGCCCATCTGCTGGAGGTCAGCCTCCAACTCCTCCCCCAAGGCGTCGTCGCTGGCAACCAGCTTGGTCTTCTCAGAGACCGCCAGGCGAAGGGCGCCAGAGACTTGGCGGCGACGCGCATGTCACCGATGACGGTCGCACGAGCTTCTTCAGCCCTGCAGACTGCGTCGTCAACGAAGGTCCACAGCCCCGCTCGGGGGCACATGACGCGAGCCTCCTGCAAGAGCCCATGGAGCATCACTTTCGCCATGTCGACCCCTCTGGGGGAGCCAGCCACAATCGACCTGCCTGGCTCAAGGGCCACGCTCACCATCGCGCCGCGCTTGATGAGGCGAGGCGCCGCATACATGCAGATCTCCAGCGCCGCGACGATGGCAGGATAGCGGAGGGAACGGCTCGCCTTCAACAGCAACGCGAAACTAATCGAGTCGTAGAACTCCTGCAAGTCCAAGAAGAGAGCGGCGCATGGCACGCCGAGCTCTCGAGCACATTCGTCCAAGATGGCCCTGGCAAGCGCGGCGCGCAAAGCCGAGGACCCCGCGATCGCTGCGCCCCAAAAGGCCCCCTGCTTCTCCGCCCACGAAAAGGGCGGCGCAGAGCGCATCCTGCTCCACAGCTTGGCTGCGTGGGGCATGGGGCTGAGCACTCGGCGGCCGCCGGCCTCCTTGGGGGTGGAGGCGCCAAGCGCTGTAGAGATCTCCTCGGGCCGCACCCCTTGCAGCTCAATGTCGCCGAGTAAGTGAACCAAGGCACGCCGACCAGCATCAGGCAGACGCGCAATATCATTCGGCACCAGCGCGTCGACGCCGGGGGCCTTGCCAGACGGCATTGCCCTGAGAGTGGCCGCGAGGTGCTCCAGCTTCAAGGGCGGCAAGGCCTCCTCGATGGCGTCGGCGCGCAGCTGATCCAACCAGTATTGAAGAGCGTCCTGGGCGCCCACCTGCTCGCGCCAAACCTCCAACCAGCGTTGGCGCTTCCGTGGATGAGAAGGCGGCTGACCGTCTGGACCGATGCCCTCCCATTCAGGAGGGGGCGTGGGCTTGACGTGGCGATGCGCCGGTCCAGGCTTAGCCTTCCGCTGCTCACGGACCCAGGACATGAAGTTGGCCCTGGAGGCTGCGACGGCACGTGAGGTGGCCCAGTCGGCCCAACGCTGGGCCAGCTGCACTGAGGAGTCCAGGGCCTCATCATCCATCTGGTCCTAGACGGCGACGCCCTTAGCCCAACCTTCTGCCAACTCCAACGTGGTGCGCTTGCCGAAGTAGGCGTCCTTCCGCTGGAAGCCCAGGTCGGCCAGCTGGGAACGGAGCTGGCTCAAGCAGTCCTGTGCCCGAGCAGGGCCCGAACCATTCTCATGCAGAGCGCGAGATCCAATCGAGAGAGTAGTGGTGGCACCCCACCATTCCGCAAAACTGTTCTTCATGTGGGTGCGACCTGGTGTAGCGCGGAGTCGAGACCACGTAACCACTGGGCCAGCAGCGCGTCCACAATAACGATCACGAGCAGGACCGCTTATGCCCTCTGCGGTGAGAATCGCCCCCTCGACCGTAGCCACCCAGCACACGCAGGCGCCAGACAGACGGTCATGGGCCTCAGGCCGCCATTGAAGAATGCGAAAGGCAAGCGGGTGCACAGCCATGAGGACGGCAGCGCCACGCATGGGCACGAGCAGCCTGAGCATGGGCATGAGCATCGCATTCAACATGAGAGTGAAGATAGCCTGTATCATCTTCCGGAGACGGCTCTAGGCGATCCCACCCCAGTACCCCCCTTTGGAGGGCCGACGTCCTCAGGCGGCTCGACACTCCAGAGGAGCGGCCACGCGCTGGAGGGCGAAGGGAGCGGGGTCCTGTCCGTCATAGTGGCATGTTCAGCAGCTCCCGCAACCGATCCGTCAACGCTAGGAACCCGAGGGGCACCTCGATGGAAAGCCGCGCCATCGACAGCGAGAACTGGACAAGTCAGGGCGGCCTGATCGAGCGCTCGAACCAGCACCTCGCCCTGCAACGGCGGGTCGCCAACATCAATGTCACCAAGATCCTGGGAGAAATCGAGCTGCTCGAAGAAATCAGCGTCGTCATCCAAGGTGGCGCGAGGTCTCCCTGTGGCTTGCTGCAAAGCCGCACCAAGGAAATCAGAGGGCACCGTGGTGCCAGCCACCAAACCTGCAGGGCGGGTGTCGGGCCCGCGCTTCACGTAGAGGGACTCGCCGACGCACGGGCCCACGCCTCCCGAAGGGAGGGGCACACCGTCGCCCGCAGGAGTGGCCACCTCAGGGCCGTCGGGCCCACGCCTCACGAAGAGGGGCGCACCGACGGTCGGGCCCACGCCTCCCGCGGGGAGGGGCGCACCGACGCCCGAGGTGAGGGGCCGCGTGCCCGAAGTCGACTGGCCTGTCAGCGCTGGGGCCCAGCCGAGGACCGCCGCGCCGGCCTGCAGCCATGCATCTTCAGAAACCGAGAAGAGGGCGCGCGCCTCCATTTCAGCCGGCGTGGCCCGGGGTGCCAGGAGGTCCTGGGAGGTCTCGAAGCCCTCGCGCAGGTCCTCTGACCGCGCCTCCTTGCGTCGCTGAAGGCTGGCTGCAAGGCGTCGCTGCCTTTTGCCCCCAGGATCGGGTTGAGCACGCGGCCGCGGCGCCGAGGGCATGGGGATCGGAGCCATGAGCTTGGAAACCCAGCGGGCCTCACGAGCACCTTCGATCGAAATGTGAAGGCCGCAATGCGTCTTCCAAGGCACGCTCTGCGCAGCGTCGGTGGTCAAGTCGGGGCAAGTGGCGCCGGCCAACGCAAAGTCATACAGGCGCCCAAGGCCTTTATCACAAGTGACCTTGCAGCTGGCTGGGACTTCGACCAGAGCCTGCAGCCGGCGCACCCAGCCACTGTCATGCAAAGCGGGCGGCTCGCAGTTCCAGTCTGCCACCGCCGGCCACGCGTCAGCAAGCGCCCGCGTGGGCGACGCCAGGGCCACCATGATGTCGTTGTTGACGCCACGAAAGTCCAAACCAGGCTGCAAGTAAGCAACGATCACGACCACGTCCCCTGTCTTCAGATGCAGGGTCAGAGGGGCGCGACCTTTGCACGGGCCCTGGCGCCCGTCAGCGCGAGCAGCCGCCCGCATGCGCTGAAAGGAAGTGCTCGCCACGAACGTGCGAGTGAGAATCCACTCGCCACCGCTGAGCCCGCCCCGACGCAGAGCGCCCCGAGGGGCGAGCAGGGGTAGAGCTCAGCTGCCAACCGTCCTTATCGAGGTCTGCTTCCAGCCGCGGCAAAGCCTGCGCCCCTTGGCGCGTCTCAACCAGCGCCAGAACATAATGCTCGTAGGACTTCTCCGTGAGGAACCGACGGGCCTGCGGGCCCCATTCTGCGATGTTAGAGTAGAAGACCGTAGCGTCAGACGCCGACGCTGCGCCCCTGCGATCAAAGACGCTGCTGCGGCTCGGCAGGGCGAGCCATCAGCCCCATCAGGAGCAGCGGCAGCGCGAGCAGCTTCAGCAGGGGGCGCCCCGCGGTCAGCAGCCAACGTGGCCTCACGGGAGGAGGCCGCGGTGGAAGCGATGAGCTTGGTGCGGTCCTCCGTCGAGAGCTTGGGGCCTGGGGCTCGGCTCCTGCTGCAGGGCCACCGCCGCTCGTCGCCGTCGCTGCTGCATCAGTGCCCGCAGCCTCTTGGGTCGGCTTGGCCTCAGTCTCGTCGGCCTTGGCCTCGCCTTCCCCTGCGCGACGCTTCTTGCGAGGCGTGCTGAGAGCTTTCTTGGCAGACGCCAAGAGATCCTTGAACTCGGCCTCGCGCGACTTCGCCTGTGTTGCAATATCATGCAACTGCTTCTGGAAGTGCTCCAGCTTGGCGCGGTCCTCCTCCTCGAACTCGTCCAGGTTCTCGAAGAGGGAGGGGTCCACGCCAAAGATGGAGCCATCGCGCCCATCTGACTTGCCAGCACCGCCCGCCGAGCTGCCCTGGGCCGCCTCCTGGGCCGCCAAGCGTGCCTGGTCGGCGTCGAGCAGCTCCTCAGCGGCGGCGAAGTGACGCCCACGGGCCTCCTCCAGCCAGATCTCTGCGGCCAGGAGGTCCTTGGACGCCTTGGCCAGCTTGGCCTGCTTCTGAACACAAAGCGAGGTGGCCTCGCGCAGGACGACGTACGGGCACTTAGTTTTCGGCTTGGGCTTCGCCTTGGCCACCGCCTCCTCGAACTGCTGGGCCAGAACCAGGGCCGAGGAGTCAGAAGTGAGGCCCGTCGCCCTGATATACTGTTCGAGCAACTGGGACGGCTCAGCTGTGGGCGGCACGAGCGCGGGCCAGTCTTTAGAGGGAGGCGTCCAATCAATCCATGAGTGCTGAGGCGGCTGAGACGTGGTCGTGCGGCTCCCAAGGTTCTGCACGAAACCCGACACATGGTTGCCGCAGACCTTGCACTTTTCATACTGCTTGCGCAAGCGCCAGTCCCACGCCGGGTTGCCACAGGAGGCACAGAACGTGTAAGTCTTCTTGGCGCCACCATTGTTCTTGGGAGCTGTCATATAGTATGCGACCGCTCACGTCTGAAGTGGCGGTGTCCTGTGCTGGGGCGAACCAGCAAGGATCCAGGTCAGGGCGGACTGACCGAGAGGGATGATAACTGCCGCGGACTAGCGGTATCCAGTCTTGCCAATGCGGGCTCAGCCCGCCAAAACATCAGTCTTGAACCAGAGTGGCTACGGAGGAGGAGGGGTGAAGAGGAGGAGGAGGAGGAGGAGGAGGAGGAGGAGGAGGAGGAGGAGGAGGAGGAGGAGGAGAGGAGGAGGAGTAGGAGGAGGCTAAGGAGGAGGAGGAGGAGGAGGAGGAGGAGAAGGAGGAGGAGGAGGAGGAGGAGGAGGAGGAGGAGGAGGAGGAGGAGGGGGGGAGAAAACGCGGGATCTCCCTTCAAACTGAAGACCCAACACCACAGGATGGTTGGAACAAAAACAATATCCCCCGCTATTTTCCGCAGCGCGAAGGGTCTGGGGAGGGATCCGGGGGCGGGCCGGGAGCCTGCAGCCCCGGCTCGGCCGCGAGCGGCAGCGGCTGCAGGGACGACCCGATCGATGTGCCGAGGCCAGCGGCGGGGGCCGCCGCCGCCAGCTGGTTGACGGTGCTCAGCGGCGCCCTCTGGCTGCCCGCCGGCGCGGGGCAGCTGGGGCCGGGCGCCTGCGGCAAGGCCTCGGGAGGAACTGAAGGTGCGACAGGAGGCAAAGAAGGAGGAAGCGGAGGAGGAGGAGAAAGAGGCGGAAAAGGAGTATGCGGAGGAAGAGGAGGAGGACGGAGGATCCAGTGTGGAGGAAAAAGGAAGAGGAGGAGGGAGGATGAGGAGGAGGATAAGGAGGACGACGACCAGTGCAAACTCAACACGCACCAACGATATTGTAACAAACCCTCCTTTTTGAAGTTACCCTGTCATAGGCCCTATACAAGAATTTCTTTCCAACGGGGGAACAGCCTCTTAGAAGACAAACAAATTAGACGATTGGACTGTGCTAAAAAAGAATTCCACATACTTGGACGCCACGGATAAACGTGACTGTTGCTTCCTGAGAATATAATTCCGTGCCAGAGCACCATCCCTGGAACGTCAACACAGCAGCAAATCAACGCGACTGCTTCGTCCTGACATTTCTGAATCGCACCAGAACGCCATTCCTGATACTTCAACTATGCGAGCCCTGCGACCTGTCGCAAAACTTTATATGTATCTGTATATATATATATATATGTATATATATATATATATACAAGACTGCATTGGCGCTTCGCGCCATGCACCTTGGTTCTTAAAGCTCGGCATGCAGAAGAACCAAATGTAGCGATGATTCATTGTTGCCGTTTGCGCCATCGTCGTTATAGTAATGTTATGTACTATCCTTATACTTCCTCTCCTCTTACTCGTAATCTTCCTTGTCTGCGAGCCACTCCTTGTCCTCATCCCCAGTTTTTATTGCAGGGGCTCCTCTTTGGAGGTGTTCTTGGGCCCCTCTCAAAGGCTTTTTGGGGACCTCTGGGGGCCTCCTGGGCGCCTTTTGGGGGCCTCTGGGGGCTTCTTGCGGCCACCTTGCTACCAACCACGGTCTCCCTGAACGACCGGGTCACAATTTGGAGTGCTTCGGGAGGCGTCTTGGGGCCATCTGGGGCTGTCAGCGGGGCTCTCTTGGGGCCATCTTGCGGCCCTGTTGGACCATATTGGGGCTCTTTTGGACTGTCTGGAAGCCCTTTGACACCGTTGTGGGAGGATTCTTGGGGCCTCTTCGGCGGACTCGGACGCACGGAATACCGAAGAACCGAATGTCCAAAAATCCAATAAAACGAAAGGAAAGTGTTGTTTTTGTTTGCACTTGGAGGACCTCTTGGTGGTCTTCTTTGGGTCGTCTTCGGGCGTCTCGGGGCTGTCTGGGGCCGCGTGGGGCTCTCGCGGGGCCGTTTGGCCGCCCTCCTGACCGCTTTGGGCCCGCTGGCAAGGCCCGGCAGGGGCGTCCAGGAGGCCCGGAAGGCCCGCGGGACCCCTTGCAAGGCGTCCAGGGGGCCCCAAAAGCGCCAGATCCCGGGGGTCCGATTTTCCGGGGGGGGGGGTCCCACCCCCCCTGGATGGTAAAAATATAGAAAAAGGGAATATATATATATATATATATATATATATATATATATATATATAAACAAACGTGACTGGCGCTCAGACGAGAGCCACATGTTGAAAAGGAGCCACCTTCCACCATGCAATCTGCTACAACTTTTACAACAGATGCGTGCGTTGCTGAGGCGAGCTCCACACTTTGAAAACCACGTGTCCTCCATCCTTGAATATGTTGCGAACTTTGAAACGAATGTGCGCGGCGTCACGGCGGGAACCACATGTAGACGTTCAAGAGAACAGCGGGTTTCCTCGCTATGCGTAGCCTCCCTCTCCTGCTGTGCTCCTCCTCCGTCGCCGTTGGCTTAATGCCGCTCTAGGAGCGGCCCCAGCATCCCTTTTGGAGGTGGGCAGGCGGGGCCATAGCACGAGCCCGCTCACCTCCGGGCCGCCTGGCTCGGGTACATTCCTGAGACCCCCCGCGCCACCTCTCACGAGGCGCGGGGCTGGCGGCCCGGGCCCGAGCGGGCTCAGCTCGGCGCCGCCGCGCGACGCCTTCGCGGCGAGGGGGCGCCGCGGCGGCGAGGCGCCAGGCGGCGCGAGAGGCGCCTGGCGGCGCAGGCACAAGAAGGCAGCCTGGGCACCCGCGGGCCCAGCTCCGCGCTGCCACGCGGCGCTTTCGCGGCGAGGGGCGCCGCGGCGGCGCGCAGCCGTGCAGCGCGGGAGGCTCCAGGAGGCGCAGCGAGTGCGGAGGATGAGGCCTGTCCACGGCCTAGAGTGTACCCTGGCCTTGGCTATGGGTGCGCTAGCGACGTGGCTCGACGTCTCGTTCGGAGTCAATTGGCATGCCACGGTCCACGCGTCCGCCGCCATGACCGGGCCCGAAGAGGGAGGCCATGAACGGGCAGAGCCGGGCGACGAAGAAGATGAGGAGCGGCCAGACCAGCCTGACGACCAGGGCGAGGCCAGCTGCTCAGAAGCAGGCTGAGACGAGCTGCCAGCGGTCGGGGCGCCCGAGGGGCCACCTCTGCCCGCGGCACTCCCCGCGCCTGCCGAGCCCCCGGCCACGGCCGCCCGCCGCCAGCCATGGCCCGTCTGGGCAGGCGCTCCGCCGAGAGTGGTCAGCGCTCCAGCGAGTACTACTACTACGGCTACTACTACTACGACGCCTCCGTCGCGCAGACGGAGGCAGAGCCGCGTGAGGAGGCCAGCCCAGAGGCGGCACCCGCGCCCCTGCCTCCCGTCTCTGACGCCAGCGCCGCGGAGACGAGCGGAGCACCCCTGGCTGGAGGCGCGGGGGTGGGGAGGAAGGCCCCAGAGGGACCCCCCCGCCGCCGCCGCCGCCCGACGAGCCCCCGAGCGAGGGCAACACAACCAGGGAGGAGAAGGCCACCCAGGCCGTGCCGGGCCCTCGCCCAGACACTGCCGCATCAGCCTCGCCCATCGGATTAGCTCGGGTCAACGCGTGGGTGGAGATGGTGTTGAAGTGGCTCGGCGAGAACTTAGGCCATGCCCTGGGCGCCCTGCTTCATCAGCTGATCAGCTTCCTCATGGGCTTGGTCGACGCGATGGGCAAGTACCTCTTCGGTGCGTTGTGGGCCAGGCTACAGTGGGCGGCCATGGGACTCGTGGCCATGGCGATGGCTACGGTGCTTGGGTCTGCGCTGGGTTTCCTGGCCTGGTTCGCGCACGCGGCATGGGCGCGCACCTCGGTCCTCATCGGGGCGCTGATGGGGTTCGCGGGCGGTAGTAAGACGGGGCACGACGTCATGGTGGCTCTGGACGGGGATCCCACGGCCGCGCTTGCATGGCATGGGCCGAGCGAGGCGAAGGCGGTGGACGAAGACTACATCAAGAGTCAGGTTCGGGCGCGCGGAGGAGGCGCCGAGAAGATGATGCCCAACGACCTCGTCGCCAAGTCGGGCGGCTCCGTCGCGCGGCTCGAGCAAGGGCCCCTCAGGGGCGGCCGCATCACTCGTCACGGGTACGTCTACAAGTGCAGGGACGTGAAGGGCAGCTCTCACGGCCACTTGAAGACCGACCTGGAAGCTACTAATTAGGGATGACGAGGGCGTCGGCCAGGTCCACCTGTGCGCGGCCTCACCGTGCACCCTCCCCGAGGGCGACCGGCCGATGGCACGCGTCAGCTCGTCGAGCGTGGTGAACCACAGCTCGAGAGTCAACGCGTCAGACCTGGCCGAGCTCACCCCAGCGGAGAGGGCGAGGGCAGGAGGTGGGATGCGTTGCACTTGGGGGTGCCGAGGAGCGGGGCGAGCATGCTGCAAGGCGTTCGGCTGCTGCGCGAAGAGACGCTGGAGGCATCCGAAGCCCGGGCAGAAGCCAGGTACCCTAACTCGGAGACAGAGTCGGAGCCCAGCGTCGATGTCTGCCAGGCCGACCAGACCGCGTACGGAACCACGGGGGGCACGTAGGTCCTGAGCGCCAAGTGCTTTCGGGACACCGCGCGGCAGGACCCCGTCTACATGCTGGTCGAGAATGCGGCGATCTCGGATGTGCGTGAGGCTCCGGAGGGCGGCGCCCGCACGTTCAGGGCTTGCCCGCGCCACGCGGGCATCTACGAGAGTCAGGCTGCCCCCAGGATGCGGGAGACGCGTCAGGCGCGAGGAGGACAGCCGCAGGAGCGGATGCTCAGAGCAGGATGAGGCCCGGAGGCAGCTGGACGCGATAGTCAGGACTCGGGGCTACCCCGACCAGAGGGGCGGGTGGCTCGACTGGTCTCTGGCGGCGCAGTGCTCGGGAGAGGCCGAGGACTGGAAGGCGGGCGCCAACACACAGAGGAAGAAGAAGCGCAAGGGCAAGAGAGTGGACCCCGTCGAGAACGGGCCACCCAACCGGCTGGGGCCCGAAGCGGTCAGAGAGAACGCTAGGCCGGACGAACTGACGCTGACGGACCTCAAGACGCGGGAAGACTGGGAGAAAACCGAGTTGGAGCTCATCCTGGACGAGCTGGCCAGCTCCACCCTCAAGTCCTATAGCCTAGGCTGGAGGTGGTGGTCCTTGTTCTGCCGGGCGAGGGGCATCAACCCGCTCAGGGAGGTTGTGTCCGCGAATCGAAGGGACGAGGAGGAGCTGATGCTGGAGTTCGTCGTGCACCTGTCGAGACGGGGGTACAAGAAAGCGGGCACCATCAAGCAGTACCTGAGTGCTGTCCGGGCCCAACACCTTGCCCTAGGCCTGGGCGATCTCACGGCGGGCGCGGGCAGGCTCTGGATGGCGATCGACGGGCTGAGGAGGCGAGACGGCGACGCCAAGCGGAAGAAGCCAGACACGCCCAGGATGATGAGGCGAATCCGGAAGAAGCTGCAGCCGGAAAGGTTACGCAAGGGCGCAGCCCTATGGCGGTCGCCACGGGCTACTTCTTCCTGCTGAGGGCCAGCGACTACGTATCGGGCGACCAGGATGGCTACACCAGTGGCAAGGGCCTAAGAGGAGTAGACGTCACGCCGAAGGCAGCGGGCGAACCGACGAGGAGCTGGCCTGAGGCAAACGAAGTCGCCATCAAGATACGGGCCAGCAAGACGGACCAGTACAATCGAGGAGAATGGCGCAACCACTTCAGGGTCGAAGCAGCACCAGGCAC